ATCCCTCATTCCTATGAGTCAAAGTAATAAGGAGAATTGCTATCTTTCTTCTAGTACCTACTACATACAAGACACTGCTAGGTTGAGTACACACACAATGAAGAGAAAATCACATTTTGGCAGGCCTGCAGAAAAGGCATTATCAGCTATCCACATATGACAGATGAAAAGAGAGACCCCAAGAAGTTCAGTAGCTTTCCCGAGGGCAGAGAGGTAGTCAGCCCTAGAACAAAACTTACACCGTAAAGCCCACAGTGCTTGCTTCTCTATCACTTCTCCTGCTGTGTCTGTTCAAATGGCGAAGTCAGCGAACATCAGACTTCACTTTCCTTCTGTAAGCTTTTGATATCATCCTGACCTAAGATATATGTTCTAGAAATACAACTAGCTCAAATATTAATCAACTTTTCTAATGACTACATCCTGTCTCACACTATACACGCTAATATATTTCAGAATTATTTCTATTGGAACAGTATACATATTTCTCTTTTGAAGTTTCAGATTTACCTCTCCTTTCAAACTCATTTAGCTATGCAAAAATATACAATGTTCATCAGACTGCTTGACTTTGTAAATGGCACATTCATTTACACAGTTAAATTCTCAGAAAATAAGCTTTCTCTGTGCAAAGACTGAAAATCACCAAGAATTTTTAACTTTTAGTAATAGTTCTCTATCTGCTGTAAGAACAAATCCTTCAAAGGCCTGATCCAAATGCAAACATGTAAAATATCTTTTCTCATATTTTTACTAAGGGACTGATCTGTGTTTGTATAATAGATCAACATATGAAGTTATTAGAACTTTTAAAATGGAGACCCATAAATTTAGTATAACACATCCTTAAAATGCCAAAAATCAGAATTCATATCGTTCCTCATACAGAAATAGACATTAAAAATGACCTGAAATGATCAGATTTCATGTATATTAAAGAGTCTGAATCATTCATGATAGGTAATGTATCTGTAGTTAAAATTATATTGTTTTAAATTATAACCTTGTGTTATGTTTCTAAGTTTTATAGTTTCATGTACTGTAAAATCATCTAGATTAACCTTTGACAGGTTTGTGCTGGTAAAGGAGATTTATACCTGAGCAATGTACTTGGAGTAAAAACCTCAGTTGTCATTGTTTTTAGTATCTTCCTTTCTCTCTGACAAATTCCACAAATACCACCTATCTTGTTGACCAAAAAAAAAATCTTAAACTAATTATGTTAACTAAACCATTTCAGTTATTGATAATGGTCTAACATTTAGTCCCATCTTCATCCACAATAATCAAAAAGGCTGAAGTCAAATCCCCTCAAACCATGTGAAAATAGGTCTACATCACATGGCTTAAGTCTTTGGCTTTACTGACATGCCTCTTCCTTTCCCCTTTAGCTTATATGATAGAGCAGGGGTCAGCAAGCTTTTCTGGAGGTGGGTATATAGTAAATACTGTAGGCTAGGTAGGCCACAGGGCCTTTGTTGCAACTATTCAACCTGCAGTTGCAGTGCCAAAGCAGCCATAGACAATACACAAATGAGGAGATCTGGCTGGATTTAGCTGGCACCCTACTGGATTAGGCTCACAGCAGCAGTATGATGACCCCTGAGCTAAGTCATGGGGGAAAGAGGAAAAACTGTCTCACTACGATCACCTGGGGCATCTCAATATTTAGCTGGGCAGGAAGAAACCATTCATGGCCATACTGATTTTAAATTGCTTCAGCACTAAATGCAATTAATCTTGACCCAGAGAGTACTAAATGCAATAGTCCACCAAAATTAGACTCTACTTTTCCAGATAACCATATATTTTTATTAAGTATATCACCAGATAAACACAGCCCCACTCCACACCAGGGTTTCTAAATTGTTTGCTCCCTCCCTCTCTCACCTTATTTCCATAACTCACTCCCATTCCACTGGACATAATAATAATTTTTTTTTTTTTTCGCTCAGGAAGGTCAAGGTAACACCACTTCCACCCTATGTAAAAAGTGGTTTTTATTTCCCCTACTTCTGCTACCAGACAGAGTTGGAGGCTGCCTTCATTCTTAACCACCTCCTCGCTTGCTGCTTTCTAGTGTATCAATCGGACATGGTAAATGCTCCCTCTTCTCAGCCTCTCTTGCAGCTTAGCATGGCCAAGTAATAAAGTTTAGGACAATAAATATCTCATGAAAGACTGCGGGGGGTATGGAGGTGGAGAAAGATTATATGTTTTTTTTAAAAAGTAGAGAGTTACAAATTCCAGAATCTCTTCCTCCCCCTTTCTTCCTACCTTCATGCAAACGTGATACCTGGAATGGGAGCAGCCCAGAATTCTGCCCCATTAGAAGGGCTAAGGGAAATGTACAGGTCCCGCACTGAAAACTATACGCCAGTGAACCCACGCTAGAAGCCACATATCTCCAGAGTCATCGTATGGGGAATAAACAGAACCCTGTAAAGCAAACGTTTGTTACAGTAAAAGCATTCCTAATCCACCTTTTATGAAAGAGCTACGGCCCTAAGATACTACTCCTCTTGAGAAGTGAAAAGACCAAACTGGCGGAGCACAGTCTGTAGTGAACTGACTGAATAGCACTACTTTAACCTAGAGAGAAAAGTAGCAGGAAGAGGGTCTGGCCTGAGGTTGACAACCTGGGCAATAAAGCCAATGAGGGCAAAGAAGAGAGAAGGCTCAAAAAGAGTATTCAAGTGCCAAAGAGATCTAGGAAAAAAATAATTGAAAAAGTACTCCTTTAGAATTGTGGGGCCAGTAAGCCTTCAGAATGTTCTACTCAGCCAATCAAATCTGAGAATTCTGATTTATATTACCATCATGTACTCCTACTTTTTGAAAAATACAAATTCATAAGTCATTTTTATATTTATATTTTATATTTTTAAGCTGATCGATTTACCTTTATGCTTCTATTTTTCTAGTACTAAGAAAGGTATAGTTACTTTCAATATATGATCATTTTTTGGCACTTGAAGAACCTTTGAAATAATTAATAACAATCATGTTAATGGTGATACTGACATCTATAAGAACAAAAGATTTCTCAAGCACACTGTTTATCTGGCAGATCCATCACCCTAACTTTAGGGACAGTCACTTCTCTTTTTATATCAATGCCACTACAAAAAACATGAAAAAATAAGTAATGCTACCCAGTCAAAAGAAACTTCAGAAATGATTATTTTAACACACATATCCCTTAAAATATAATTCTTAAGTTATAATACCAGTTTTTGTTTTACTTTCTTAAAATTATATATGAAGGGGGAACCCCTGCAAAAATGGAATTATCTTCTGGAGGGTGAGCACCTTGTGGTACAGGATTCCCCTGTTGGATTAATGTTCTAGGAACCCATCTGTAGCAGTGCACCAGCTGGCTTTGTTGAGAGGCTGTGTTCAGCTTCAGTGACTTTTCTGGAAGACTCAACACGCTTGCCCATTTCATGATGGGTGAGTTAGGAGCACACCTGCCCACAGAGCGCTGAGTGTTCAGTTTTTGACCAAAAATGGCATGACCGCTATGCCCCACCCCCTCTGTTCATCTGCTCTTGCCCTGAAGAGACTTTTTTTTGTTTTCCCAGATGAAAAAATCCTCAAAGAGAAACATTTTACTGATGGGAAAAGGGTGAAACAAAAAAATGGCAGAAACATTAAAAGGCATCAAAATAGATGAGTTCAAAACTGTTTTTAGCAATGGAAAAAAGTCTCCATAAGTGTTAATAACTGAGAGTACTTAGAAGATGACTGAAGTTTAAACATGTAAAAATAAGCACACAATTTTAATAAATAAATTCTTTTGGAGTCCCCCTCACATATGTATATACAAACATGTGTGTATATATATAGCCATGCACCACTTAATTTGCACCTAGTGGTGCAAGAACTGCTTCATGAGGCGATTTCTCTGTGTGTGAGCATCATAGAGTGCACTTACACGAACCTAGGTGGTGCAGCCTAACGCACACCTACATCACAAGCTTGTACAACATGTCACCGCACAAAACAGCATGAGATTAAATCAAGCACATGGGAAAATGATGCGATCGAGGGACGCGGTAAACACAGATGTGTGAGGCTGCTGTTTGTGTAACATGGCACACTGACAGCATGACTTTTTTTAAGTAGAAAGAATACACTGTAAAATAAAAATAAAAAGTGTAGTACAGCAAATACATTAATCAGTAATAGTCGTTTACTATCATTTCCCAGTATGATGTACTGTACATAACTGTATGTGCTGCACTTTTGTAGGGCCAGCGGCGCAGTAGTTTCGTCTACACCGGCACCACCACAAACACAGGAGCAATGCATTCCACTATGACATGAGGGTGGCTGTGACATCACTAGATGACAGGACTTTTTCAGCCCCATGATAATCTTGTGGGGCCATGTTTGTGTATTAGGTACATCACTAACCAAAACGCTACGTGGTGCATGACTGTATGAACACACACTCATTCACACACACACACCCCTCCCTAGTTCCAATGCCAATAGTTTTCTCCTCCATGAGAATAGTTTGGGGCGTCTTGCTGCAGTGTAAAACACTTATCAATTACAACACCTATAAATCACCACAGACTTTTTAAAATGTTTATGATTTCAGAGTAGAATTACTTAGGACTGTCAAAAGTTTAGCTGGAAAGAATACCAAATACAAAGAGGTCTCAGGCTCAACTGTAGTAGTGGAATGGAAGAATTTAATAAAGTTCCAGCACTACATTTTAGTGCCCAAATTTCTTACTGTCTTTCTTCGTTGACAAATGGATGCTCCACAGCAGAACAGCGGCCACAGCATAGCTGGGTGGCGAACCACGCACAAAGGAGGCAACGGCACATGCTGCCCAGCGTCCTCCTGCCTGCCTAGGAACGGCAGCCCACGTAGACTCATTCTGTTGTAAATCAGAGCAATTATTTATTTCTCTGGTGTTTACATTTTCTTCATAAAAGGGTCAAACTTCCTGCATGTTAAAAAACAGAACTTTCAAAAAGGATATCTTCCCTTTCTTTGATGATCAGTTCATTCTGTTCTTCCAGCTGCTTGATCTTCCTCTCAAATGACTCCTGCTCAGCTCTGAGTCGCTCTTCAGTCACCTCCTTTTCCTCACTCACTCTGCGAGAAAAAAAGGAAAGAAAATGCCTCTGAGAATGAAGTAGAGCATGTGCCTAGAGCTGCAGTTTACCAAAACTAGACTTCTTCCAGAGGAATGCTTACCTCTTTCACAGGTTTCTTCAGGGGTACTCTATGTATTTTTTTCATTTTTTAAGTATATTTATTGATTCTGCTATTACAGTTTCCCAACTTCTCCCCTTTGCCCCTTCCATCCAGTGCTCCCTTTCCCTCCAGTAATCCCCCCCCATTAGTTCATGTCCACCTTTTATAAGGCAATCTTTCACACCTTTGCAATAAAATATGGATGTGAGTTTAAAATCAAGAAAGTTCTCAGAAGTATCTTAAATATGCAAAGTTCAACTTGAGACATAGTTTCCCAATTATAATGTAGGACAGAAAAGTATCTGATTTTTAAAATATTAGGTTTCATTTCTTCATTTGCAAAATAGACAGTCAAATTATTTTATTTTACATATATTTTATACTTAAAAAAAGATTTTATTTATTTATTTTTAGAGCAAGGGGAAAGGAGGGAGAAAGAGGGGGAGAAACATCAGTGTGTGGCTGTCTTGCATATGCCCTAAACCAGGGACCTGGCCCACAACCCAGGTATGTGCCCCGACTGGGAATCGAACCAGCAACCCCCTGGCCTACAGGCCTAAGCTCAATCCACTGAGCCGCACCAGTCAGGGTTAGATATTTTTATACTTTTACTTAAATACTGTCAATGACATAAACATACAAACCACTTAAACGTGTCACTAAATATACAGAGGAATTTTACTCTGTTCTTCAGGTTCTGATATCCTGCATTCCTCAGTGACATACAAATGACTAGGCTAGAGTAAAAACATGGCATGAACATAAAAATTTTACACTACATTTATTCTTAATCCAAAAGAATTTTAAAGTTAAAAATGCTAACTCCAAATTTTTGATTCTTTAATGTCTAATTCTGAAAAGCATTCAATTCGATCCTACCAAAAAGGGGTGGTCCTTAACAAGAACAATAAAGGAATACAAATCGCTTTAAAACCCCCCAGAGAAACAACTAAACAACATTCAAACTTATTTAAAATGAGAACCCTGATTTTCACGATACCCTGTGCACTCAGATGTTCGCCCTGAGTTTCTGTTACTCGTGCTTGTTTCCCCAGAGAGAGCACCACACATTTATCCTACAGGTTCGCACAGGGATGCGTGTAAGTGAAATCCACAGGGAATCCAAACCTTTCCTTTGAGCTCCTAAAGTTGTTTCTCCCAGAATCCTCTTCTACCAGAACAATTTCTGAATGACACGAACTCTATAGCTTTTCCTTTCTTGCTAGCCTTCTGGTGGAAATATTGAAATCAATGATGTCAATAAAACAGAATAAAAATTAGAATTTTAGAGTGTTTAAGAGTTGACTGCATTTTCTTTGAAATAATTTGTGTGAAATGCATGGCACACAGCAGTGTTAATAAAATAAGTTTATTTCTTCTCGCTTATCCTGACATTCAAATCATTTTCTCAACCCTATTATTTATGATTAGCATAATATTAGACCGATGAATAGAACTGAGGCCCTTCTTTCTAAGAAGGTAATCTCTAAAACTGATATAATTACAAGGAATCCAGACAACTAAACAAACAACAAATATATCTATATGCAGAGGATTTATGCTCCTGCCTTGTAGACTGTCAAATTTCCCTTAACACTGCACTCAACACAGAGGCTATCTCGAGAGCCGGGCAGGTCAGAGCACAAAGGTGCACCCCAACATTTACTCAGTCCCTTTGTCCAAACTGAAAGAGCTCCATGGGAACTCTAGGGCGCTGGGCACAACTGCCTGTACACACATCCCACAATGCCAGAGTCTGTGAGGAGCTTTTCCGGACACTTAAACTGCTCTATCCAGAAAAATTATCACTACCCTATTTAAACGGGGGTTTTTTTGGTCTTTTCTGTTACGCTGCTGTGATTAGACTACCCTTTAGCAATTATTATGCTCTGGAAGGCTATAAAATTAACAAGCTATGATGGGTACACAGTGCAACACAGTGCAACTTACAGGGCTTCTTTGTGGCCCATTAAAATAGTTAATATAAGCAAGTATATTAATACAGCTTTTGAATGCAGAGAACTTGCCAATAAAATCACCTCAAGATTTGACATTCACTATGAAATCTGTCTTCTTGTTTAATTTATGTTCAATAATATTTCCCATGAGGTATGTGTTAGAGAAAATATCTGGTATTGTAATCTACATTTTTCATTCAAAGCATTCTCCGACCACAAAGTAGCATAAAAAGACTTAATCCTCTATCTCATTTAAAGTATAGCAACAAGTTAATTAACAAAATGAGAAGCTAAGTATAAAAAAGGGAAATATTTAACTAATAGGACAAAAAAGTCAAAACTGACAAAAGGATATTCCCAGAGATGGTTTATTAATTATTTACAAAGAGGACAACAGCCTATTCATAAAGTAAGATTGTTAGCATTTATTTAATGCCTCTGAGTATTTCTCAAAAACTTCCACAAAATGTACTGTTATCTAACAAAAACAGAGAATCTATACCCTCATAATTGGGTGGTTGGGCTGAAAATTGTGCTGAAAATACTGAATTTCTTTGAAATCTTATGGTTTAGCTCAAATATCCCTGAATATTTTATATTTTTCTCCATACAACGATCTTTTCTGTTTCTAAAAGTTTTCCCAGACCCATGTATTCTAAATTTTTTAGTAAAACTAATGTTCTAGAAAGAGATTTATTATGTGGCTATGCAAACCCCTGATGTTCTTTTAGATACTCCAGGAAAGGGTACTCACACACTAATGTGAAAGACAAGGTCAAGTCCGCAAAACGTCTATCCCGAAGAGAATTACAGCTCACCCAGGGGTCAACTCAATTAATTTCTTCCCTTATTTAACATCTTGCATTTGAGAGCTGGATAATTCTGGCTGCATTTTATTAATCCTGAATATCAGTTTAGTGGGTAAGAATTGGAGAAGGAAAAAACAGATTTCATCGGACATGCAGCACAGAAAGGGCCATATTGTTTTCAAGCAAAAGTAAGTGGCCCTGGCTGGGTGGCTTCTTTGGTTGGAGTGTTGTCCCACACAACATAAGGCTGCAGGTTCAATTCCTGCTCAGGGCGCACACCTAGGTTGTGGGTTTGATCCTCAGTTGGAGCCCATATGTCAGGTAACTGACTGATGTTTCTCCCTCACATTGATGTCCGTCTTGTCTGTCTCTCGCTCTCCTTCCTCTCTCTCTAAAAATCAACTAACATAATCTCAGGTGAGGATTTTTTAAAAAGTAAACGCGTAATAAAAAGAATGGCTTTCATCATTAAAAAACATTTCTGTGAAATCACCTTGATATCCTCTTTACAAATTTTAACATTTGGCCATTGTTTAAAATGTACTGTCTAAAGGAACAGAGGTGCTTTAAGAAATCACAGACAGCAATCGACGTGAAAAGGGTTCTAAGAACTACGGAGTAATACTGAATGAATGTAGATGTAAAAATCCTCAACCAAATACTACCAAACAGAATTCAGCAGCATAAAAAAGGATAAAATACCACAACCAGCTAGGATTTATTCCAGAAATGAAAAGTTGGTTTAATACTCAAGTATCAATTAATATATCGATAATACAATATATCAAGAAAATAAAGGACAAAAACCACATGATCATCTAAATGAATATAGAAGAGAGTTTGAAAAAACCCAATGATTCAAAATTAAAAAAAAAAAAAATAGGAAGGTAAAATGTTCCTCAACCTGAAAAAGGCCATCTACAAAAAACCTACATGTAATACCGTATTAATGTTAAGTCTGAATTCTTTCCTCCTATGATCATGACCAGAACAAGGATATCTGCTCTCACCACTTCGATTCAACACTGCACTGGAGATTATAATCAGGGTAATAAGGTAGGAAAAAACAAATGAAAGGCATCTAAATTTTAAAGGAAGAAGTAAAACCATCTCTATATCAGGACATGATTTTGGACACAGAAAATCTCAGAAATCTACTAGAAAACTATTACAACTAATGAAAGAGTTCATTAAGATTTCAGGATACAGGTCGATATACAAAAATCAATTGTTTATACACTAGCAGTGAACAAACTCCCCCAACCCAAATTAAGGAAACATTTACATTTAAATGCAGTTAAATTTACATTTGCATGAAGAGAAATAAAATACACAGGAATAAATTCAACAGAAGCAATACTTATATACTGAAAATTAGAAAGCACTGTTGAAAGAAACTAAAGATCTAAGTAGATGGAAAGACATTCCACGTTCATGACTAGAAGACAGCATGACAAGGATGGCAGTACTACACTGATCTTCGGATTTGACTCAATCTCTATCAAAATCTCAGCTGGTTTATTTGCAGAAATTGACAAGACTGTCTAATCTGAAAATTCTTATGAAAATGAAAGGGACTCAACCCTGGCTGGTTGTAGCTCACTGGATTGAGTGCAGGCCTGCAAACCAAACAATCGCGGTTTGATTCCCAGTCAGGGCACACATCTGGGTTGCAGGCCAGTTCCCAGCAGGGGATGCACGAAAGGCAAGCATACATTGGTATTTCTCTCCCTCTCTCCTTCCCTTCTCCTCTAAAGATAAATAAATAAAATCTTTTAAAAAAATGAAAGGGACTCAACTATACCTTGAAAAAGATGAAGGACTCACATTTTCCAGTTTCAAAGCTTACTAGAAAATGACAGTTATCAAGACAGTGTGGTACTGGTGTAAGGACAGACATACAGATCAGTGGAACAAACATAAACACTCACATTTACAGCAAACTCATTTTACAACCAGGTACCAAGAAAACCAAAGGGAAAGAATAGCCTTTCCAACTAATGGTGACGAGAGGACTTGCTATCCACATGCAAAAATCTAAAACTAAACTCAGTCCTCTCCCTACTTTACCCTATACACAAAAATTAACTGCAAATGAATCAAAGACCAAAATGTAAGAGCTAATACTATA